AGGGCCGGCTCTTCAGCGTCATCTTCAAGTTCGAGGTCCCGGCCGAGTGAGGCCCGGCCGCGGCCGACAGGCATCAGGGATGGACTGGGACGGCGACAGGGACGCTGCGTCCGATATTTATGTTGTGCTTCTGTGACTCAGGCGGGCGCGGCGGGCCTGTTCCCGGCGGCGGGCCGTTCCTCACGCTGCCGTGTCCGTGCTGGGAGGCACTGTCTGCCCGGGACATTCGTATTGGAATGTATTTAACTGTTAAATAACCTTTTATATATGTTAAATATATATATATGCCTGTGTCTGACAGGGCGCAGGCGCGAGGCACGCACCAAATAGAATTTCTAGAGCGAGACTGGGGCGTGTGCCTTCGCTGCGCGGTCGCTGGAGCCCTGCGGCCCTCCCACCAGGGCGCTGCCAACGCTCCTCCCTCAGTCACTCCCAGCTCTAGGGCCCCTGGGCCTGTGGGCGTGGCTGCTGCCCCCACAGGGCTCCGTCCAGCCTGCTGTGCAGGGAGGGACAGACAGGGCGCCGGGCAGCGCTCCTGCTCGAGAGCAGGCCGAGCAGAGGCTCGAGGACCCTTGAGGGCTCTCGGGGCAGCAGTGTGCTCTTCAGAGCCGATCAGACCTGTGGGTTTTGTCGCCGTGGCCTGAGCCTGTGCCCACAGCCCTCCCGGGGCGGGTGGGGGCTCCCTGGGCCCAGCCCTGGCTGCTCCCCCGACGGGACGTGTCCTTGGGGTGCAGGCTGGAGCCATCACGCACGACTCCCTTTGGAGGGACCCGCAAGGCCTGCGTGTGCACCAGGCAGGAGGGCTGAGTCTACAGCGTCTGTTCCTCAGGATTGCGGGGAGCCTGCCAGACGGCTGCTGGGGGCCTGTCACCGTGGTCCCTGGGCCCCCCAACCCTGGAGGAACCAGAAACACGGGCTGGGTGGGCACGGGGCAAGGTCACCTGGCGGTCCCTGCAGGGCCCTGAGTGTGTCCACCTTTCTGCCCACCCTCTCCTTTCCACTGAGACCCCCCAGTCACTGCCCCGCCACGGAGGCCGGGGCCCTGGGCCCTACAGGTGGCTCTGCTGGGCAGTCAGGCTCCTGCACTGCCCCAGGGCAGCAGGGCACAGGGCAGGAGCCAGTCAGCTCAGCCCTGGGAGCAGCGGTCAGGCTGCTCCGGACGCTGCACACCCGGGACACTTAGCGGAGGCCACAGAGGGGCTGTGGGCGGGCAGCCCCGCAGGGAGTGGGAACGTGTTGGTTGGAGTCGTGTTTGGGAATTTACAGTCTAGAGCAGTGGTTCTCCACCTTCCTCTGCCGCGACCCTTTAAATACAGCTCCTCATGTTGTGGTGACCCCCAACCATACAATTATTTTCGTTGCTACTTCATAACTGTAATGTTGCTACTGTTATGAATCGTCATGTAAATATCTGATATGCAGGATGTATTTAGGCGAACCCGGTGAAAGGGTCGTTTGACCCCCAAAGGGGTTGTGACCCACAGGTTGAGAACCGCTGGTCTAGAATGTCCGCACAGAGCAGGGACCCTGCAGAGCAAGCCAGGCGGGCGGCTCGGCACTCACAGGGGCTGGGCACACGCACGCACACGCACACACACACACACACACACACACACACACACCCCCACACACACACACGGCAAAGACCTGGGAAACAGGAAGGACTCAGCCCCATTTTAATGTCGTAGAAGCTTTGTCTCAAAATGTAAATCTCTGTGCACATCGCAAAGCGCCGTGACCGCGTTGCCAGGGGTGGGGCTGCCTTCCCTCCCCTGGGAGGAGAGGCCTGGGCAGAGGACGGGCGCCAAGGGGCACACAGCGCCGTGTCCTGAGCAAACACGGGACCCTCCTGGCCGCTGGCTGGTGGCCGCTGGG